ATCTCTCCCCTTTCCTTGTCCCCACTGAAGACATCTCTTGCTCCTGTGCTCTCTCTTCTCTGTTGCACCACAGTGCAGTCTGGCATCAGAGGTAGCTGCCTTGCTGCCAAAGAGAGAGGACAAAGGGAGACAAATAACCAGTGGAAGTGAGAAGTTTGTAAAGTAACAAGACAACCTTCAAGAGCTCTGGAACAATCTCAGATTTGCTGAGCATGATATTCACATTATTAGCACCTGCCCCCTGCTTTCTCCCTGACATTGGCAGGCAGATCAGTCCCCTCTGTGCTCTCAGTCACCAGACATGTCTGCTCAGCTGTTCCAGTGCTTCTTTTCATTCCCACAGCCCTTTGCAAAGCACCTATTCCTAGGTTGTAAACAAATCAGTAATTAACGCAGCCCGTGAATGTATGATTTGGTAGATGCTGAGCTCTTAAAAAAGCTCTTCCTTTAAGGATACGCTTTCAGAGGCAACCTAGGATAGTGGGAGCAACCTAGAACTCCAGAGAGAGTAGAGACGCTCTGAAAAGCCCTTGTTCAAGATGAGAAAAATACGCAGCCTTGCAGAAGTTATGCAAGTTGTGGTTGAGAAGGGGCTGCCATCTTTGCTTTGAGGCAGCCTTTGGCTTTTCCCTTGTCAGAAGATACCATTCAGAATAAAGTATCTTGGTTTTGTTCATTTGTTCATGAGAGTGCTGTTTGGACTGTGTCAGTCAAGTCCATAAGCTGTAGACAAATGGTTAGGTTTCTTATTTAACTACAACTATATATTAATGCAATGAACTCTCTCACACTTCAGAGAAAAAAAGCCAATATTCTTTCCTCTTCTGTTTTTCCCCTAGAATGAAGAGTGTGCATTCCTTGCATTGAATTTAACAACACATTTTCAAGGTCCTTAGTATCTTCTCAACATCAAGTTGTATTTTGGTGTAACTTGCAAATCTTGTCTAACTGGTCATCTCTCATGTTAGTAGTTTCTGCTAATTACTGTGAGATTATTCTCATGAGCGAAGAATTTAGCAAGTTAAGCCTATTCTAACATGTCCAAAAGAAGCTGGATTATGATTCCTCATTTCTCAGTATTTCAAAACAAAAAATGCCTTAGATCACTTAGAGGATCAGGTTCATATTTTCCTTCTAAATTAATATTTTATATACAATATGCTATAAATGAGTACTCTCATAGTACCTTGTGTACCTATAGAACAAGTATTTCAGATTTTCTTATTTGTAACCTTTGTTTTTAAACCATAAGCAAAAGTTTTTGGGAAATGAAGAATGGAGGAAGTTTTCTCAGCTTTGTTGCATTATCTTTCTTTGTAATTTCCTTTGTTTTCTGATGCCATTCTGATTATCTCACCATGACAGACCATATTCCTTAAATATATCTAACAACTGCTTTTGTGTTTGCATTTGTATTTGACTTGGAGATAACTTTCTTATTTGTCTGAGGAGGTACATGTCTTTGGTTTGATAGCTATTTAAAACTGTCATGTGGAAATCTAGCCTAGAAGGAAACAGTTTAGTGGAAAGAATTGAAGTATTTTTTTTTCCATTATATCAGTATTTATACTCAATTGTTGAGAATAATATTACACACTGTACTGATTATCAAACATTTGGCCTTTATTTCACTGAATACTCCTGTCAAACATCCATACTTCCTGTTGTGTAACAAGGAAATAAAGTCAACTAAAAGGTGATTAACAGCAAATCCTGAAACCATGTGGAATTGCTCATGTGGGATCAGGAATATTGGTGGGGAGTGAGGGTCTTGAACAAGAAGTTGATCAATAAAAAAATATTTTCCATCTGAATGGTTTTTTTGTTTCAAGACTTTCAAAGAGCAATTTACAGGAGACGAATATGGTGTAAGAGACATATCTGCTGTGTTGAAACACAAGGTTTTTGAGGTGCCCTGAAGAGGACAAATTCTGCTTAGCTCCTTTGATATCAAAGCTTCATTGTGTAAACTGCACATCTATTAGATATTTTCTTATTCCAAACAGTGCTACAGCTCCAAAAGCAGAGGTGGCAAGGCAGCTTTCCTAAAGCATTTAGTTACTTGCTTTGGCTGTGAAATAGAAGCACTGATCTATTCAGACATCTGCTTTTCCTTTGATAGCCTCCAGACTGCAGCCAGAAACAAGACATTCGGACATTCAACTGAGAGCGCTTCATAACATTACTCTCTTCACTTTCCTCCAGTGGAAAAGTCTTTTCTGTAGGAAAGGTTGATTGGTACAGTGTGCTTTTTATTGCAGCAAAGTCTTAAGATCAGCTTTTTGAATACGTCCTCAGAATGAAAATGAATTAAAATTATACAGGTGTGGCAGGATCTGAAAACCTAAGTGTAGCTAAGACAAAACACCACCTCCAATGACAAGTTCATATCAGGTCCTGAAGCAACAATAGCTGTACTGAAGCTGGATGCTTTCAATGATAAGATCCTGTTTTGGCTGCACAGACACTAAATCTCTTGCAGTATATCTTCTCCTGTTGGCTGCAGTGATGGAAATCCAAAGAGAATGTGACCAGCCATGGTCCTGATCACTTTGGGGCTGTTTTACAGGAAAGCTTGAATGGTGAACATAGCAGACATGTCACTTAAATCAACTGTCTGAAAGTAAAGTGTACATTCAAAGGTAGTAGTCTAGGCTCCCACGATGGCCACTGCAGAGAGACAGGTACTTTCCAAGCATATTTCATTCTGCTTAGATACTTGTTTTAGAGGGAGCCT